CTGTCGTCTCAACTACCACTTAAACAAAGATTGGTCTGTGCAGTTCTCCGGACTGCCGCTTTTGCTGCGTGACGAAACAGCAGAGTATATCCTATGTAGCACTGGAGAAGATTAGGCTGGCGATCATCAGATACACCCAGCTGGAGCCAAGCGACTTCAGGCAAGTCTTGCCGTTCACAACCATAGACTTTGTCAAGAGCTGTAGCTTGTACGACAAACTATAACCATCTAATGATCATTAGTAGTATGAGCCACAATAGACGCGACCAGTGGCATATCAACCTAGCTCCGGGCCGCGTAATTCCGAACCCCCGTTGATTTCAGAGCAACATTGTTCTGAAATGAACTTGGGTTTGTTATTCAATAATGCCGTTCATCGTCTTCCAAACCTCAGCGCGGTGCAAGCAGACAAGATGCGTTCGGTATTGGGTGGGGGTTTGCAAGACGTGACGCTCTGTTTTTTTTTTTTTTTTTTTGCTTTACCTTTGCAAATGCCAATTCAGTACAAAGTATCTAAACGTTGGATAAACGATTTAATCAACTTAAATAGGGTAACAAGTTAATCACCTACATACTAAATAAGAGATAATAATATAAAAAATATAATATAGAGGTCAAAGCTCAAAAAAATAACGCTAGATGTAAAAAATTTCTTTCAAGCCAGAATCTTCAGGAATGGATATGGATAAACGATTGTTTTCCTTTGGAGTAAAAGGTCTTGCACTTAGTTAATTTGCGCGGTTGGTTTATGTTCAATGAGTTGTTGTTTTTGAAGGTGTTTAGTGGTAACCGAGGTGGTAACCGTTTTGTTGTGCTTACACAAGAAAATGAGGGAAGAAGAAGTAGTTAAGTTACTAAATACTTTATGCGATGAATATAAACTGCTATAAACAAAAACTGAAAATGATAGTTTTGAATCTGTTGTGCAGTGCAAACTTTGGTGTCATGAGACTTATGATAACAAATGTGACGAATGGATTAAACATTTTTCACAATTAACAAATAAAAATTGGATTACAAAGCGACGTGACATGAATAAACTACTTTAAGATGATTTAAATTTCAAATAATATGGAAGAAAAATATAAAGGTTTGAAGAAATAGGGAATACCTTTGTACCTACTGCAATAACTTGCAGTAGTTCACAATAATCACAATGGTTTGCAATACCTTGAAACATTCGGCAATAGATTGCAATAGTCTACAATACTTTCACAATACCCTGCAATATCTGAGTATTGCACAATATATGTACAAAAAAACTACAGTGAAATAACCCTCGATTTATACGGAACGTTCTTTTGTATGATGTGTTGATTTTGATTTTTTAGTATTTTGTATCTTTTTCCCTTTTCTGAAGCAGATAATAATTATTTTACTTGTAGAATATTTCAGTATAAAATAAAATAATTTTTCATTTATATTACAATATATTGTTTTATTTTTATGGCATTTTATCAAACAGTAGATATTAGGTCTGTTTCTGCAGAAATCACAAACCAGTCAGAGCTAATTTCTTTAGTTGAAAACAGTCAGAAAACTATTTTCAACCAATGAAATTAACTCTGACTGGTTTGTGATTTGTGCAAAAACAGATCTAATATAAGGGACGGCGTCCGCGCCGACGACGCCGTTCTGAATTACACTTGGTTTCGTAGTATCAAGCCCGATTTAAGTGGTACAAAATACAGTCAGTCATAGACGCGTGTATTCTCTGTAATGCTCTGAATCACACGTGGATTTGGAGTAAGTACTTCTGCATTTGCGTTGTACAAACCAGAGTTGAGTACAGAATATTTAACGTTATGTGGCGCTCTGTACTGCACTGTGGTTCGGAATTACGCCTCCGGGCCTGCGTGCCAAAATCTCCGCGGGCCCATTACAGGTCCTCCTTTTGGGTGCCACGCCAAAATTTTGACCCAAAAGTCGTTGAAAAACACTCCTAAATTTTTTTTAGGTATATTTTTCCTTAACGTTTAATTTTGAATTCATTATTTTCGAAATTGGTATGAATAACTATGTATAGTATTTTTAATCCGACTTGAAATACGTGAAAAACCTCTAGTCGGCATACATCAAACAAAAAAAGGGCATGGGCGTCACATACATTTTATTTCTTTAAATGGTGATAATTAATATCAAACAACACAACTTAATAATACGTGGAATAAAATAGCAAATTATATATAAATTGGGACGACACTGGCTATAGAAATCGCGTAGTCTAGTCAACAGTTGCACCTACATCGTTCCAGGGAAGACATAAGTTGCTCACCCCAATAATTAAACCTATATAGGCACGTGCCGACTTAAATTATTAATTTGGGCTACTGTAGCGATATTTCGTCGCTGCTTATATTTTATACCGGGTGATTGTCTATATTTTGCACCCATACCTATATCACCTGCTTGAAGAGATACCCAGAAATGTCAAATGTTAAAGTTCTAGGTAATATCAGAAACTTTGCAATTAAGTTAGTTACAGGTATACAGGGTGTATCACAAAAGTGTGGCGAAGCAAAGTTATACTTTATACCTACTTTTTTCATGGAACACCCCGTATATTATTGACCTATCGGATTAACCTTTCAAACCTGATTCTAAATATACTAAGTTTTTAAGGTTTATTCCTCATAGTCCAGCCTCTGAATTTCTCATTTTGAAGAAATAATATGGATTTTCAATTGAATGATTACCTACCTTTATATTTTGCTGGTGGTCTCTATACTTCACCTTTTTCAATAAAAATGCAATTATTTCGCTCCTTTTTTTCTTATTTTCTCCCGGACTATTAGGAATAAACCTAAAAAACCTAGTAGGTATACTATTTGGAATCAGGTTTAATAAGCTAATCCAATGTGTCAATAATAAATAGGGGTGTTCCATTTAAAAAAGTTCAACTTTGCTTTACCGCACTTTTGTGACTGTATATACTTCATTGAAAACTTTCTGATATCACCTACAACTTTCACATTTGTCATTTCTGGGTATCTCTTCAAACAGGTGAGATAGGTGTGGGTGCAAAATATAAACAATCACCACACACAAAAAACCAACAACTTAAAACAAGAATAAACAATTTTATTTGAGAATATCTTAGGATTATATATCCGCAAGAAAATAAATGTTTGGAATGAGAATATTATATTCTTGTTTAAATATCATAATAGATTGTTCAAGTCAATATCAGATCAAATAAATAATATACTTCTCATTTTGAGAACTCATTTAAACTTCATTTGAGAATACCCCATTCTCACAAAAAGTAACTTGTAATTTTAAAACAAGCAAAAACGTTATTCACTTTAATTTTATTTTTCCCGCAAGTAAACGTCGCATCAATAATTGAAAAAAACATACAAACTGTCACAAACGATATAAAAAGGCAAATAATAGCAAATAGTATAATGGCTGCTACCTGCTACAAACTTTGCTGCTACTCTTCCCAGTTCCTGTCTATACAAGTCTTTTTGTACATGACAAGGTGGAAGGGATGAACCAACAGAAGTTTGTTATGAGAATATAATACTAAAATACATGATATTCTATTCGGAATGAGTATTTATTTTCTCAAAAAGACCTATTACAGTTTCCTCTGGAGCCGAAACCGGGGTTAGGTAAACTATTTTAACGATATATTTCGTGTTTAAAAACAAGAATGTGTATATTCTAATTGATTTTATTTCCTGATTAAACAAAGTAATTTCAAAAGTTTAACTAAAGTATCACATATATTTGATACGAGAATATATTGGTTTGGAATTATGTTTTAGTATATCAAATTGATAAAATTTGACGTGTTCTTTTGAGAATAAATTTATTTGAGCTAACATTACACATATACTTTAATATAAATAAAAATATATTCTTCATTTAAACGAACATTTCAAATATTCTGTAAACTATTTTTAATTGTTCCCAATTTCTCCGTTTGAAGATATTTGTTTCATCTGATACAAAATTTTTCTTGGAAAAATGAGAAAAAATATTTACTTGATGTGAGTAATCGTTTTTTTCTGTGCAGGTACATACAACAGGAGGGAAACTTACAATAGATTTTCTATGAAATTAATAGAAGAAGAACGACGTGATGTTGAAACATCCTTGTAAAATGCAGTGTTTCAAGTCAGAATAAAAATACTATATTGCTGCTGGTATTTTTTTGCGCGTAGATAGACTATTGCCCATACATTAATCATTATTATAGGTACAAGCAAAAAAATAAAAAGACAATAATTTTAAGTCTTTTATCTTTTGAAACATTTTTTTGCGGTTTCGATGTGGAGCTCACGGGCCCCGACCCAGTGAGGGTCGGAGTGGAGGGCGGGGTAATTGGCCCACTCGTTTTAAACTTAACCTAACCTAACCCCGTATTTTTACACCAGTGGTGGAATTGTTTTCGATTACTAGGTTTCGTGGAAGATTTCCTACAAGAGCCGGGAATAATAAAATATTGATCACGTAGAATTAGTAGTAGGCGCCAAAATTTTGATTGGCTTAGGGCGCTGAGGGTTCTAGTTGCGGCCCTGATCACCTCGTTCCATTTTTTCACTGGCTGTTTTCAGTTCAGTATTCAAATTCCAACAAGAAAATATAGAGTTGTCCCTCAAACTCCTCAACTTTTTTTAAAGAACAATTTGACTGAATTTATTGAAATATTCATTATTTTGTGTAGATATGAAATGTGTTGCTTGAGACTTTCAATATCTCGTTTGTGGTCTTTGGATCTTTGACTGCTTCCAGCTCTTTTCCTCCCAAACGCTGTGCAATCAAGTTTCTTGCTTCAATATCGTCATTATTCCATAATCTTTATCTTTATGGTCCAGGATATAGACTTTCTAGGCCATGATTAATTACCTCCTGTCTGTTCCAATCAATGATCTGTTCCAATGCCGATGTTACTCAACTCCCAATTGAAAAAACAGCTTTGCTTTTCATAAGGACTACATTAAAATGCATCATATTATTTCACAGAAAACAAGTCAAAGAGAATCATAATTTTGAAACAAAAAATAAATAAATTTATTATTTCAACATTTTGCAAAGAAAATACCAAAAAATAGATACAGTATACAGTAAAAAATAGATTATTCAATAGAAACGATCATTATGCTAGTTTTTTTTAAAGCTCGGAAAAAACGAGTTGTTTACAGGCTTGCCCATATATTTCATATCTTTTTTGTTAGATAAAACAGGGGCGGGGGCCGCTTGATTTTCCTTATCTGTACTTTTTTCCTGAGACTTGGCAAACTTTTCATCTTCTACTAAACTCCTGGTGGATTGTTCTTTGTTCTCTACAAAATAATAATTTATTATATTATTTGTTTCGCGTCGGTTATAAGTAATGATTCGATGTGTATCAGAGGATATTACCAATATCAGTGTTCTTTGCTTCGATTTTCTTTTCTTTATCATCATTATCGTTCAAGCCCAACCGTTCTATTAACTCTTCACAACAATAAGACTCATCCTCAGGTCCATATGGCGTCAATGGTAAATCAAACATAATAGGAAATAATTTTTGGTTTTTTCTATCTGGATCTTCCATAGTTTCGAAATATTCTTCTCCGAAATATTTTGGTAGGAAAAGTACTCCCATTTCATACGATCTTAAAAATTATTTGTTAGTAAGGGCAATACAATCAAAAAATTTCAATAATAATATGTAATATAATAAAAAGTGTTTCACCTGACGAAAATACTAGAATCAGCATTGGGCTTTACACCCCAAGCGGACCGAGAAAGATTGGCGCTGGTCAAAAAATAATAGGACATTTTTTTCCAGCACGGCGATATACGACAGTAGCACTTCGAATGGGATATTACACGTGATCTTTTTGTTCCATCAGCTTTCCATAGGCTGAAAATAGATTATTATTTTCTTTACTATTTTACTTAAGAGTTTCCTGGGCCCATAACCTGTTGTTTGCTTTCCCCAGATCTATTTAAATAATACTGTCTTCTTTTTTTGACAATATCCATCTCATTAGGTCAAAGCCCAATGACGAACGCTCGAACTGGGACAGACAAGTTCATTTACAAATTGAATACATATACCTAACAATTATTATTTAACGTTTTAATAAGAAAAGGAGTCTTAGGCATACACAGTATCAGTCATTTTTTACCAATTTCTTACCATTTATGCTTTAATAGCCATGGCTGAGCTTCTTTAACGTTTTTTGTATAACGACAGCAACCCGCGCTTCTATATTTTAAATGTCCATCGAGACAGTTTTCCATGGTCGGATACACAAGATTGAATAATATTTTGGAATTTTTAAAAAGAGTCGGCAAGTACGGAGATTGTTTGTGACTACCCAAAGATTTGAGGAAATTTGTCGTTAGCCATTCATCTGGAGTTTTTCCTATCAATCCTAAAATATTTTATTTTGGTTAAAAAGATATGAAAACGGCAAAGTTGAATCTCACTAGCCACTGTAATTGAAAAACTCAGTTTCAGCATAATGGTATTTTACTGTTCTCAAATCCAGGAGCCAACGAGAGCAAGCTTTGCTTAACAAAACATCAATAAAAAACACTGTAATCAACAAATAAATAATTCACCTAAAGAAGCGGTTTGAGCTACGATGCACCAAGAGTCATGTTCTTTTTGTGGTGCTGGTATAACACAATCTCGACTTAAAATATGTCCCAGATAATGTATTAAGGATCCATTTTTTCTGGGTTGGTGCACTCCTGGAACTGTATATACTAGTGCCACCCTGAAAAATAAAAGCACATTCTACCATTAGGAGAAAAATGGACTCTTTCTTACCCAAATTAGGATAGAATTTTTTTTTTGTATACTGATTATTCACACTTACTTTATATCACTAAAATCGGTTGCTTTAACACGATCAATCCATTGCCCAAGGCTTTCAACATTCTGATCATTATATACACATAAATAATCCAGTAAAAACATTTTAAATCCAGTAGGTGATTCACCATCGAATGCGGATCCACCGTCTGGTAATTTTGGACATCTTGGACTGATCCATAACCTGATACATTTCGAAACAATTAGTTTTATATGTTTTCCGATAGCTGTTATAATGATGGTAATTAATTCCCTGTAACTTTAGACCAAAAAATAAAATGCACAGTGATAAATAGTGTACCTATAGTGGTTAATATAAGGAAAGACCACCCATATTGGCTAAATTTTTCCATTAACAGGTTAAAAAGGAAAAATTATAAGTTGAATGTTCAAATGTTAACTTTCATTTTTACTTACTGCTCGTTATATATCTCCCAATCATTTACATATAAATTTGCTGAACCAATAACCAATCTTATAGAATCATCATCATATACAAAAATACTGAGTTTTCTAAAATAAAATATTATTGTTTTATTTATCATCCATGATACCACTCAGATACATTCAATAGATATGTTAAGTTTACCTAAGTGGTATTTTGCGTCCTCGTCCTCCTTTAGAAAAATATCAAGTACTTACGTATGATGACAACCAAAATCCTCTTCCTCTCCCAACACATTCATATAATAATCGATATCAGGATATAGCTTTTTCATAGTTTCCGGTTTAGGCCATTCGAATTTCTTGTAACCATGAATTATGGTCATGGGAAGTTTGCTGGAAATCACTTAATTGATATTGTTGATAATATAAAAAGATAAAACTAGGAGTAGAGAAATTACCAAAAAAAATATTAGGTAGGTATAAACAAAATCCCACAAAAACGTATCAGCAGAGCAATAGATTTAAACTTCTGTTTATACGTAACTAGATTTAAATTGGTTTTAAGAAAATTAACCCAACAACCATCTAAGAAAATATCTTTTTGTAAAATACTAGAGCCTTCAAGTTTACTTACTGCAATTTTCTTGCAGCATACTGTCTCAAAATCCAAAAAATGTCCGCCATATATGTAATATGAAACGAGCTCTTGAGCTTACCCAAGCTTGGACAAAGAAGATCTACAAATTGCAATAAAGAAAAAATGCAATAATATATTGTCATATATAATATAATTAGGTATCCATCATTAACTGTGACCTTATAATTTACAAATTTTAGTTTAATTTCCCTATATCTATTTATCTAGCAATTTTTTAATTATGAAAAACCACCTAATATTAAAAATAAAAATGACTATTACCTGTAAATCTAATAGAATACAATTGATCATCAGTTTCCGGGACGTGAACTAACTTATTAAAAAACACATTGTAGGGAGCAGCATCCTTCATTCTTTGCTCCATTGTGACACGATCTGCATTTACTCCCATTTTATCCCACACCAACTTACTCACTAATTCAAAATACTCATCCACAGGTACACACATAAAAAATGCTTGGTCGTTAGATTTGGCTTTGAAAATATATAGTTTTTTTTCTCCATCTCCATTTTCTTCCAGAAGTTTCAGTTTATCTGGGATTTGCTTGAAGACTGCCTCTGCATCACCAGCTTTTACCTGCTGCAAAATCTCTCGATATTTTTCATTTCGGTCATCTGGTAGTAGTATAGTTGTGCAGTTTTCGTCGTCCGATGTGCTTTCTTTTTCAGCCATTTTAGGAAATATTTGTTAACTGCAAAAAAATGCTTTCTATTACCTACCCTATGCGTATAAGTTAAGGTTTGTTAAAAAAAAAAAGACAATATTTCATAATAAGTAAGTATTACAAATGAGAAAGTTTGGTTCCATCCTAAGTTGAAATAAGTTACTGCCATGGGAGCTTTTGTATATTTGCTTCACTCTTTTGGCCTACCTACTTCTTTTATAATAAAACAAATACTACATGAGCAAGATACGAGGGGTCAACAACTGACCAAAATGTGTACACCAGGAATCCATTATTTTCAAATAAATCCACGAAATCCACAAAAATCCGCAGAAATCCAAAATCTTCTGTGAAAATCTAAAGACATGTTTGGTAAATCTATGGACTTCCATGGATACCCACAGAAATCTTCGATCATAGCAAAAAATGTATATTATGTCTCGTCTCAGGAACTAATGTTAGAGGATGCTAAAGAATATAGTTTCTCTTCAAACATTAAATAATAGATACATTCATTCTTGCTCGATATTGAACTGTTTAATGATACGAATTCTACACGCCCCGTGGATAATAATCGGAATCCACGGCCTATCAACCAATCAAATTCGCAGTATTTTCGGAATACACGGGCCGCAACGAGATAATACAAACAAAACATGACTGACGTCTACTCGCAAATCACTCGAATGATTCCAACACTCGCCTTCGGCTCGTGTTTGAATTTTCATGCTCGTTGAAGAATATACTATATTACATATGTGAGATCCACAAAAATCCAGTAAGATCCACGGATATCTATGGAAATCTATAGACATCCAAAAGAATTATAGAAATTCATTGAAATCTACACGGGTGTACACCAGATATTCACAGTTGTTGACCCCTCGGCAATTTGCCGCCCCTGGATCGTGCCGCCCATCTCGCCCCCCCCCCCCCCCCTTAAGCCGGCCCTGGCCTTGAAGAAGTTTGAGAAAGACGCCTGTGAGTAATCTTACTAAAATTTGACTTTAAAGCTTGTCCGAATATAAGAATATGTGATGTGTTTATAAAAGTCATATTTTAGATATTTCTAAGAATCTCAATAGGACCAATTTTAATAACATGGCCGCTTCAAGACGTCATTTTATGGTTCTTATAAAACGTCCACAGTTTTTTTCTGTCAATAAGACGGTCTGGGGCCGACAACTTTGAACGACTATAAAACATCAAAGGGACGACAATAGAATGTCCAAGTGACATGGACGTGAGCTTTTAATAGTTCCAAAGACATCTTGAATAGGTTTCATGGATGTGAGAAATTGACGTTTTTGGACTTCACTCCTTTGATCATCCGCCATCCGCATGACCAAAGAGAGACGACAACTTAGTACCTGAGATATAGTATCAATGATGTCATTAATGAAACTGACATTTTCTCAATCAAATTTGGAATTACTTTATTAGGTTTTATAAATGTTATTGTTTATGAGGGAACAAAAGGGTGATGGTTATTTTCCAATATAATTTCTCCTTTCCTATTGTCCGTCATTTTTAATCTGAAACTTTCCGTATGAGGAGTGAGGGGGTGAAGAATATGGGCAATATGGCCAAAACAAGTGTGAGGTCAGGTGACCATTGACGTTCTAATGTATGGAGCCACCAGCTCAAATTCCTTTGGAGTATCAAATTAAAAACGACGAACTGTAGGTAAGTAGTTGCAAATTGGGATTGATAGTTTGTTAATTTTCATTCAACGTTTAAATATATGACTCATATGTATCACTTTCTTCGGCATCGAGTACCTATTCCGTAAAGCCATTTTTGTGCTGTTCCTATAAAATTCAAGATTCCACATTTTCTGTTATCCAGCGATGGGAAGTTTTAGTTTCGTGAAACAAATTGGTCAATTGGATTTCTTTTTTTTTTTTGTATTCCAGGATCTGTAATAAATATCCTTTACAGAAGAATTTGCTACGAATAGTTCAAAAGAATTGAAATTGAATGAAGTTTGTAAAACTTGTAGGATTATGGGTTCTAGAGTTTTATTGTGAAAATATATAGGTCTATAAACCAAGCAGTTCCAAGGTGGAAAAAAACTTCGGGAACTATATAATAATTAGGTGCTTTTTAGGTGCTAATTAGGGCCTCTAATTAAAAATTAGGTGCTTCTTTAGTTTTTGAGAAAATCAAAAAAAACTAAAGGACTGCTAGGTTTATAAAAGCTAGCAGTCCCCTATAGTAAAAAATATTTTTTCAAAATTTTTCTTTGTATCAGAATTAGGTGCTTTTTAGGTGCTCCTAAAAAGTCCAAGAAAAAATAGAATTGATTAATTATCAACTGAGTTACAGATTTTTTTTAATTATTAAGGGACTGCTGGCTTTACGTTTACATGTTGGTGTGTCAGAATCGCAAAAAAACTTCGGGATCTATATAATAATTAGGTGCTTATCAGGTGCTAATTAGGGCCTCTAATAAAAAATTAGGTGCTTCTTTAGTTTTTGAGAAAATCAAAAAAAAACTAAGGGACTGCTAGGTTTATGAAAGCTAGTAGTCCCCTATAGTGAAAAATATTTTTCCAAAAATTTCTATTATATCAGAATTAGGTGCTTTTTAGGTCCTCCTAAATAGTCGAGGAAAAAATAGAATTGATTAATTATTAACAGAGTTACAGATTTTTTTTTTTAATTTATGTTGGTGTGTCAGAATGGAAAAAAACTTCGGTATCTATATAATAATTAGGTGCTTTTTAGGTGCTAATTATGGCCTCTAATTAAAAATTAGATGCTCCTCTAGTTTTTGAGAAAATCAAAAAAAACTAAGGGATTGCTAGGTTTATGAAAGCTAGTAGTCCCCTATAGTGAAAAAGATTTTTCCAAAAATTTTTTTTGTATCAGAATTAGGTGCTATTCAAGTGCTCCTAAATAGACGAAGAAAAAATAGAATTGATTAATAATTAACTCTGTTACAGATTTTTTTTTAATTATTAAGGGACTGCTGGCTTTACGTTTACATGTTGGTGTGTCAGAATCGCAAAAAAACTTCGGGATCTATATAATAATTAGGTGCTTATCAGGTGCTAATTAGGGCCTCTAATAAAAAATTAGGTGCTTCTTTAGTTTTTGAGAAAATCAAAAAAAAACTAAGGGACTGCTAGGTTTATGAAAGCTAGTAGTCCCCTATAGTGAAAAATATTTTTCCAAAAATTTCTATTATATCAGAATTAGGTGCTTTTTAGGTGCTCCTAAATAGTCGAGGAAAAAATAGAATTGATTAATTATTAACAGAGTTACAGATTTTTTTTTAAATTTATGTTGGTGTGTCAGAATGGAAAAAAACTTCGGTATCTATATAATAATTAGGTGTTTTTTAGGTGCTAATTATGGCCTCTAATTAAAAATTAGATGCTCCTCTAGTTTTCGAGGAAATAAAAAAAAACTAAGGGATTGCTAGGTTTATGAAAGCTAGTAGTCCCCTATAGTGAAAAATATTTTTCCAAAAATTTTTTTTGTATCAGAATTAGGTGCTATTCAAGTGCTCCTAAATAGACGAAGAAAAAATAGAATTGATTAATAATTAACTCTGTTACAGATTTTTTTTTAATTATTAAGGGACTGCTGGCTTTACGTTTACATGTTGGTGTGTCAGAATCGCAAAAAAACTTCGGGATCTATATAATAATTAGGTGCTTATCAGGTGCTAATTAGGGCCTCTAATAAAAAATTAGGTGCTTCTTTAGTTTTTGAGAAAATCAAAAAAAAATTAAGGGACTGCTAGGTTTATGAAAGCTAGTAGTCCCCTATAGTGAAAAATATTTTTCCAAAAATTTCTATTATATCAGAATTAGGTGCTTTTTAGGTGCTCCTAAATAGTCGAGGAAAAAATAGAATTGATTAATTATTAACAGAGTTACAGATTTTTTTTTTAAATTTATGTTGGTGTGTCAGAATGGAAAAAAACTTTGGTATCTATATAATAATTAGGTGCTTTTTAGGTGCTAATTATGGCCTCTAATTAAAAATTAGATGCTCCTCTAGTTTTTGAGAAAATCAAAAAAAACTAAGGGATTGCTAGGTTTATGAAAGCTAGTAGTCCCCGATAGTGAAAAATATTTTTCCAAAAATTTCTTTTGTATCAGAATTAGGTGCTTTTTAGGTGCTCCTAAATAGTCGAGGAAAAAAATAGAATTGATTAATTATTAACTAAGTTACAGATTTTTTGTAAATTATTAGGGGACTGTTGGCTTTACGCTTACATGTTGGTGTGTCAGAATGGAATAAAACTTCGGTATCTATACAATAATTAGGTGCTAATTATGGCCTCTAATTAAAAGTTAGGTGCTCCTCTAGTTTTTGAGAAAATCAAAAAAAAACTAAGGGACTGCTAGGTTTATGAAAGCTAGTAGTCCCCTATAGTGAAAAATATTTTTCCAAAAATTTCTTTTGTATCAGAATTTGGTGCTTTTTAGGTGCTCCTGAATAGTCGAAGAAAAAATAGAATTGATTAATTATTAACTGAGTTACAGATTTTTTTTTAATTATTAGGGGACTGCTGGCTTTACGTTTACTAGAGATGTGTCAGAATAGAAACAAACTTCGGAATATTTATAATAAATAGGTGGTTTTAAGGTGCTTATCGGGGCCTCTAATCAAAAATTAGGTGTTCCATTAGTTTCTGGGGAAATCAAAAAAAACTAAGGGACTGCTAGGTTTATGAAAGCTAGCTGTCCCTTATAAAAAAAAAATTGAAAAAATATTTTTTATCATAGGGGACTTCTAGCTTTCATAAACCTAGCATTCCCTTAGTTTTTTTTTTTGATTTTCCTAAAAACTAGGAGCACCTAATTATTATACATATAGATCTCGAAGTTTCTAAGCCATTCTGACACACCAACAAGTAAACGTAAATCCAGCAGTCCCCTAATAATTAAAAAAAAAATCTGTAACTCAGTTAATAATTAATCAATTCTATTTTTTCTTCAACTATTTAGGAGCACCTGAAAAGCACCTAATTCTGATCCAAAAAAAAATTTGGAAAAATATTTTTTACTATAGGGGACTACTGTAGCTTTCATAAACCTAGCAATCCCTTAGTTTTTTTTTATTTCCTCGAAAACTAGAGGAGCACCTAATTTTCAATTAGAGGCCTTAATTAGCACCTTAAAAAGCACCTAACTATTATATAGATCCCGAAGTTTTTTTCCATTCTGACACACCAACATGTAACCGTAAAGCCAGCATTCCCCTAATAATTTTTAAAAAAAATTGTAACTCAGTTAATTATTAACTCGATTATTAATCAATTCTATTTTTTCTTGGACTATTTAGGAACACCTAAAAAGCACCTAATTCTGATACAAAAGAAATTTTTGGAAAAATATTTTTCACTATAGGGACTACTAGCTTACATAAACCTAGCACTCCCTTAGTTTTTTTTTATTTTCTCAAAAACTAGAGGAGCACCTAATTTTTAATTAGAGGCCCTAATTAGCACCTAAAAAGCACCTAATTATTATATAGATTCCGAAGTTTTTCTGCTATTCTGACACACCAACAAGTAGACGTAAAGCCAGCAGTCCCCTAATAATTAAAAAAAAAATCTCTAACTCAGTTGATAATTAATCAATTCTATACTTTCTTGGACTATTTAGGAGCACCTAAAAAGCACCTAATTCTGATACAAAGAAAAAATTTGAAAAAATATTTTTCACTATAGGGGACTGCTAGCTTTCATAAACCTAGCAGTCCCTTAGTTTTTCTTGATTTTCTCAAAAACTAAAGGAGCACCTAATTTTCAATTAGAGGCCCTAATTAGCACTTAAAAAGCACCTAATTATTATATAGTTCCCGAAGTTTTTTTCCACCTTGGGACTGCTAGGTTTATAGACCTAAAATATATGCATTATGTATTAGGTGGGCAAGTCTAAAGGGTGAAAAAAATGAAATTTTCTTTTTTTTGGGGAAAAATGTGCTTCTTCTGGATAATTTCCCTGAGGTTGTCTTGGTAATATTATTATTTGAGACAGGATTTTAATTTTTGGAGATGGTTTTTGTGGTATCGACGAGGTGAATCAGCTATAATACCTACCTATAGTTTTAAAAACGATTTTTTTCTTGGTGTTTCTAATTTTCATTTATTTTTATTTATCCACCTCTACTTCTATATTTATTTTTATGTAATGTATCAGCTTTGTTAATAAGAGTTGATTAGAGAATTAAAAGTTACTTTAGCTAAATAGACTTTTAAGATAGGTTTTTTCAACTTCAAATGGAGTTTTAAATTTAAAGTTTACTTTAAGTTGATTATGAAATTGGCCGTAAAAGTCTATTTAGCTAAAGTAACTTTTAATTCTCTGTTCTGAAATTGGCCGTAAGCTTTTGAGATACAGGGTGAGAAAATTTTCAAAAATAAATCAATAATTATATTAATATCTGTTACATCATTTTAGATATTTTAATGAAATTTGGCATACATGTAATATGTATCAAGATGTATTCTTTAATTTCCACCAGTGGCGTTCGTACGGAATTTGACCAGCCTATTTTGGCAGATTTTGATGCTACGCCACTGATTTCTCTTAAAATAAAAATTATTCTTGAAATCCCCAATAATTTCCAAGCAAAGTTGATCACTTGATTTTTCACAATTCGACGAAAAGTTTTCACCTAAAAAAATATAATGTATTTGTCTGCATATAGTTGAATGAAAATTGTTGTTGTTATAATAGCGAGCATTTAGTCTCTCAGAATCCCTTACAATGTGCGAGGAAAGTTTTCCTAAATAAAGTGAAAATCTCAATTGTCTGTCAGTCTGCTGCAGTTTATTAACACTCAATTTCTTAGAAGCAGCGACTTTATACAATGCAAATGCATCAAGAGTCAACTATAGTAGATGATCCGGATTTGATTTTAGATTGAAACAGGATATCAAGTAAAAAAATGGACACGTGAATCGACACAACTGCCGCTATGAGAAGAATAGAAAATCAAACTCAATGTTCTCAACAAAAACTTAGGTTTTGTTAGCACTGAATTATTGGATCAAGTCATTCAAATTTTCTGAAACATTCTCAGGAACATGAAATATGTTGCAGCAGCTGGTGCACGACAATGCCCAATTTGTCCTCAATTTTATACCTTAAAGGGGGTGTGCGCCAAAAATTAAAGTTTTAGTGTAAAAAAATCTAAGAATAGCTGTTCAAACCTCGTTATTCTACGATAAACCATCGCTGAGATATACCGCTTTAAAGTGTGTGTGACGTCACAAGAGCTTCATCCAGCCGCGCTCCGCAGTGTTCATTTGATTGTTCCCGGCACGCGTGAGTGGTTTTTGATTATTGCAGGTGACACAGGAAAAACATATGTAAATTCAATTTACTTCACTTTCTTGTGCGTTGCTTGATCTCTCTCTTTTCCTCCTCCTCCGTTGTTGTTGTTGAGAGAGATCTCTCTCTGTTTTCCTCCTCCTCCGTTGTTGTTGTTGAGAGAGAGTTATTCTTAGTTTTTTTTTCTCTTTTTTTTGAGATGAAGTTGTGTTTTTGGCGCACACCCCCTCTTTAATCAAGTTTTTCCTGATAAGTGGATTGAAAGAACGAGGTTATATTGAATGACCAGCGAGGTTTCCTGATCTAAATCCTTTGAATTTTTTTGTATGGGAGTCTACCTTAAAACATATGTTCATCTCACACAACCAGAAAGAGTGAAAAATCTCCCTTAACACATGAAGTTTAATAAAATATCACTACAAATGCTTCATATATGGGATGAAATAATTTTATTTCAAGTTAGGATTTTTCAGGTGGCAGGCAATGAACATTTTCTTCTACTTTAAATTGTTGCTTGCTAGAAAGTAAAAGTAGAGGTAAATTACTCAAATTACTAGCTCAAGACTAGCTTAAATTATTGTTTTGCTTAGAGGCATTATACATCACTTATACCTACATTTATATTATTCTCATGAAAGATTTTGCTTCTAAAAAACTTAAAATTATGTACTCAATTTTACCACCTTCATATAAACAAAAATACCTACTCAACTTACCCTTTACTTATATTTATTTTGATGTACGCAAGCAGCTCTTTATATTTTTTTTATCTGATAAAAAAATTACAAGCTCCACTACAAATGTATATAAATTTAAACTTAAAAATTAGCACGAGAAGCACAAATTCTCAAGTAATTAGTGTAAAATAATTATGTAATCAACATTCCAGTTATTGTATTCCTGTCAATAAATTATATTTAATAATCAAACAAAACCATTTGTCGCCTCTTAATTAAATAGTCCAAGCTGCCCAGAACCTCTTCATTTCAGGTAAAATATTGAGAAGGGGAATCTTAGAAAGAAGGAATCGTCGAGAGGGTAAAAAGAAAGGGATGAGTGGTGAGCGGGGAGTCAAGCAGATAGGAACAGAGGTTGTTTTTTCAATGTTTGTGTGTGTACACGGATTTTGGTAAGCCTTTGGCCGATATAAATAATTATTGCTGATATATACTGTGTATAACCTGATATTTATGAATCATAATATATTGCACGCTGGTGTAGAAACTCATGGAAATGTACTATGAGTACATTTATTGCACGCTGGTGTAGCAAGCCTCTATACGCTGGTATGGGCGCCATTCCTTCAGGTTGTGTCTTGTAAGATTGGGGGCCTTACTTGCGACTTGATTGACTCAAATAGGTATAGGGGTGTAGAGCAAACACCCCAATACCCAATTTGTTGGGATACTGATTGTTTAGCGGCAATTAAGTGTCCGGGGAAGCCTTGACTTATTTCAGGGGGGCACTAGCTAGTCGTCGAAGAAAGAAGATACAAGTGAAGATTAATCCTGCTATTTTAATTATATCTTTAGCCAGGAATATTTAGTATTGGTATGCCAGAATGACCAAGAGGCAAGGGGCGGTAAAACCCCCCGGTGAGTAATTGCATTGTTATTAATTGATTATCAGATCAGTAATTCTTTCATTTTATTTCATATGGTTCCTGACAATATTTTCCGGCATTATCTTGACTGAGGAATGAATCTGCATTGCGAAAACCCACTAAAAAGTCCTCATTGAGAGCCCAAAAGGGTTAGTTTTACATTAGGTACTTTATTTTGTTGTTTCACTGAATATTTATAACGATTATTTTATTTTGTAGCACGGGGATTCCCGAACTCAAATCGAAAAAATGCTGCCAACATAACAAAATTAAATTTAAAAAAAAGTACTACCTACATATTTACCCCGACACCACTTTTTAAAACTAAAAACCCCAATATTATTGGTTTGTTTTGAATTTTAAAAGGTTAGGTTAGAGTACCGTCAGTACCAAATACGACATTGCACGAACCGAGTACTACGACTACGGAATACCAATAAGGATACGAATGTGCGTTCATGTATATTTTAGTTTACTGCACTAAGCACTTATAATTCAAACCATACTAATTTGAACCATTTTGGTTTAAACTTTTTTTAGCTTCTCACTTTTGAATTTATACGTTGAGAACAAGATAAATAATGGAAACGCCTTTCTGTCTACTTCCGCACTAGTACAAAAATTATGAAATTTTAAATTTTTTATGTTGAGATTTTGGTAGGTAATTATTTTTTTTTACTACTTACCTGAGAAATAGTCATTATTCAATCTATTTTTTTCTAGGAAAAAATTGAATTTCTCTCCCTAGGTGAATAATGAAAATAATGAAAAAGTCCCTAGGTCAATAATGAAAATGACGTCATGACGCAAGGATATTGTCATGTTTCTATTGGTCCAATTTCAATTTCATGCGTCAATTTAAAACAAAATACAGGTTTCTGTAGGTACATAGGAAGTTATCATAAGCTGTTGATAGAGGGCAGCACTTTCAAGAGGGCGTTCAAAAAAAAATAATTAGAGCACAGATTTTAAGCAAATTTTTTATTTTCTACTAGCAGTAGTAAAAAAAAATCTATATATTCCTCGGTAGAGAAAGTCATTATATACCTCACGCATTATATATAAAAGCGCTCGGTATATATAATGACCAACTTCTCTACCTAGGCATATAATATACTATTATTTTTAACCATATATTATGTAATGTTGACATTACAGTCTTTTTAAAAATTTGGAAATGTCACTTTACTGTCTTTTCATTTCCCTGCTCCACTTCCCGTCCCCATTTTCCGTCCTCACTTCCCGTCCTCGTTTCATTATATTTATATGTGGCAGGTATTGTCAAATTTTTTTCAAAATTGATGACAATGACATAAAATTCAAGCAAATAGCATGAAGCTACGTTCACGTTCAATTTCATTTCTAATTTAAATTAGCAAAAATTATGGTTAAAAATAAAATAGTATACTATGCTCGACAGGAAATTTAATTACTGTCTCGAGATATAGTTTATCTCGACGCTACAGGTCTCGATAAACTATAAAATCTCTCGACAGTAATAGCTAATTTCCCGTCTCTGATTGTAATATACTATTTATTGAACAAATATCTAAAATTTAAAAATGAACAAATAAAATATATTGCAATTTCCATTAAAGCGGTGGTAAATGTTCTGGCCCAAACAATTGCATCTCGGCCTCTTTTTAGATGTTAAATTGTCACTACTAGCTATGCATAAAGTCCATAAAAAAAATGTATACAAATAAGTGATAATAGTGTTTATATTACCGGTACGGTATGAGCTCCATTACAGTAACGAGTCGGAAATATTGCCTCGACGAGTGTTGTAATGAGCCTTACCGTACGTGTGATATACAACATTTTATCTACGACCTGCACAATAAGTGACTATTGTCGTTTGTCTATTTTAAATAACCCGTTAGTTTTTTCGAGAAGGGTTGGATTTAGGTCAAAAATGAACGACATAGAAGAAGAAAATGTGTGTTTGCCTATCTTCTTCAACGCCGTTTATTTTTGCCTAAATCCAATCTTTCTCAGAAAAACCAACCGGAATATCTACTGAAGTCACTAACAAGCAAAAAAATTATAAATAACTATTGTGTACTCGATTATGTAGTTTAAAAAAAAATGATGACCTCTTACCGCACTAGTGCGATAATAAACGCGTGCCAGTGCGGTAATAGGGCTCATTACATAACGCAAATGAGCAAAAATTAGGGACATAATAGTCACTTATTGTGCAGGTCGTAGATAAAACATATTACATCAATAATACTGTTTGCACAATTGCATGTCAATTATTATTATAACTTTTTTCTACCAAGACATTTTGTTGGCTTCTTTCGACCACTTGTAGAAACCTCCGCGTTTTTTGAACATGGCCTCGTCGAACCCAGAGAATCTGAGTGCGTTTTCAACTCCAACATCCAGTATGGATTTCGATGGCTCTTTGGAACCGCCTTGGCAATCCAAAAATCTCATCTGGAATAATAATAATAATGATCAGTCGATAGACTTTGCAATGCAGAAACTCGAGCTTGTAACTTTCTACCTCACTTTTTGCACTGAAAATGGTTTTTAGGTCAGTTTGTATAGTAAAAAGTTAATTGTGTAGTTAGTGTCAAGTTCATTTATGTTTTATTTGGTGATCTTGTAGCTTCATGCATAACGTCAAATATAGGTACCTAAATCTTACAGCTATATGTATATACTAGTATATACTAGCGTCATTATTTACCTAATAGAGAAGGTATGTTAACAAATATGTATATGTACTTACATATTCATCCAATATTAAATAACTGTTTTGCATTTTATCATTGGACTCTGGAACAATACACCGGATTGATTCATGCCTCTTTATGAACGCTTTAAAAGTTTCTTCAGAAATATAGAAGTCTGCTGCATTTCTTAAAGCTTCTTCACCGGCATTTTCTCCTTCAATGAGTAGACATTGGAATACTTTCCACCTAAAATTTATTTTATTTAGGGCCGGTTCATACACAGTCCGATAAACTTTCAGATAAGCAATCTGGCGAAAAAAACGCAATCTGCAATCCTATTGGTCGGCAAGTTATCCGCCGACCAATGGAATTATAGAATGGTGAATTTATTTTGCAGATAGTTACCAGCAAGTTTATCTGAAGATGAATAAACCGGGCCTTAAGGTTTAGCAGTTAGCATTATTTCTTGAAGTAATGAAAACATTTCGCTGATAAACAATGATAGAAGTAACATAATTAGAGAGACAAACAAGAACAAGAAAAACTTTAATGATTTACCTAATAGGATTCAACTGCTTTATTTCATCAATCATAGTTTCATGTTGATTATAGGTATTAACCACAGTATTTATTTTGAAGAGAATGTCGTATTTCGTGCACCAGTCTCTAATTTGCCATAATTTTTTAACGTGATCACTGCTACCTTGACGTCTGCCAATTTTCTAAAACAAAAAAAAATAAGAATTTTCAATCTTCGAGGTAAAGTAAAAATAAGTTTCTTGGTCATTTGTTGAGAGGAGGATTATAGAAACTTCTAGTAGGAATAATAATACATTGAGTAAATAATTATTTCAAATGATCCTTACTGTATTTGTTTCTTCATTGAATGAATCACATGAAACAGCAAGGATATCAACAAATTTGCCATATTTCTGGAGCCACTTTTCAGTAATCATGGATCCATTTGAAATAATTGAAACTGAGACTTTTAAAGTTTCTCTGCAGTACTGGACCATTTCGCCCAAGAACTTGCCACGTTTTGGTAAAAACGGTTCCCCTCCGCTAAAGTTTATTTTTTCCATTCCTAGAAAATATACTTTGATTGAAGTGGATTTATTGAATAGCTTATTACAATACAATCTTAATTTAAGTACATAAAAGTGAAATGAAAATAAATGCATTCAAGTTTCCAAAATCAAAATGCCTGTCAATAAACTTTTTTATTTAAATCTCATGAGAAATCCAACAACTGGGAAAGAGATTTATGAGATTTCAAAATTCTTCGGGATTAAACAATAAATCACACTGATGAGATATTAAAGATTGATACAACCTATACCTGCTTAATTAAGAATGCCTTTCGGTTTAAAAAACGCACCGGCCACATTTCAAACGCGTAATAGATATTTTAAGAGGATATCAAAATTAAATCTGCGCAGTTTACCTATTAAATCATTTTCCGAACTATTCAGTGGCCTTGGAAAAGAAGTTAATGAAACCTATCGCATTTAATAAAATGAAAATGCTCAACATTTTGCCCTAAGCGTTCCTAGGCGTTTTCTTTTACCACTGAAAGATGTTCTTACAAATAAATCAGATAGAATGAAGTGATTAAGAAATTACAGTGCTGCAACCTACAACAGTCATGTGCCTGGAGCTAATAAAACTATAAGACTTTGTGTAGATTTAACTAAACTGAACCAATTTGTGAAAAGAGAAAATACCTATTTCTTTTCTATCTACTAATCATTTACTGTCTCAACTCTGAATTTTGGCAAATCCTCCTATCTAATGATCCATCCATTTTGCAAGTTTATTCGTATGCCCTTTGGAATTTTATCTGCTCCATCTCTAGAAGCTTTTCAAAAAAAAGTAGTTGAAACACTTGTAGCTGTTCCAGGTATCTTGATGACATTATTAGGTATTTTTGAAAAAGAACAATCTTGACATGACGGTGGACTAGAGGAAGTTTTGACTAAACTAGGAAGAGATGAATGGACTCTAAATAAAACTAAATGTGAGTTTATAAAAAAAAACTATCAACATTTTGAGACACATGCATGTGTTGCATATGAAATAATTCCATACCCTAAGAAAATGGATAAACTTAAAAGAACCTTCGCATCAAATCAGACAAAACTAGAAAGAATCTTAGGCATAAATAATTGTACCTCAAAAAATAATGGTAATGAGAGACGAGAGTGCAAATCAGGATGCAGCTTTCCAAGAAGTCAAAGAAATGATCTATAAATCTCCTCATCTAGCAACTGGTCTTGGCATCATTACCATAAACCTCTATAGGAGAAAAAATGGTAACGATGAAGTGACATTTATTTTGCGATATCATTTCAAATAATCAGAAAAAAATAAAAACGATTTCCACTAGATTCGTTTTTTTTTATGTAGATATCTTCGGAATTTCCGTAATATCAAAACATTACGCCACTGAGCTCAGTAATGCGCAACTTTTTCCAAATTTAACCAACCCTGTATCTCTTATGGGTACGAAGATCTCTGTAGAGCGCATCCTTCTATGGGTTTATTTAGTCACTGTATTGTTACAGGGACTCTATTACCACAGTGGCGACAATAAATTGCAGTCCTATTTTCGATTCGTTCTTTGAAATCCTATACTACAGGGTGAGTTATACTAAGCGCGCGGTGGTCAAAACTAAATACAAAACTTGTGGATTAACATGAGTACTACATTCCTAAATAATTTTTCATTATAGAGGATGGCCCAATAAGTAGAATTGATACAAAGTTTTGTTTTTTTGAATGACTCCCCCTGTATATTATGACGTTTCTGGATTCTGTGGAAAATTCTAGACATATTTCATGTACAATGTCATGTACCTATCTTCAACTGTTTCGGAAATATTGACAGTTGAAAATTGACGTTTTGCAAAGGACCCCGCACATTTCTTATTGAAAAGTGATCTATGTGGAATTTTGCTGAATTTTTGATATTGTGTATAGGGAGTCGTCCTTAACAAAAGTGATCATTGCGCTAATGTTCAATACCCAACAGTTTTCAAGATATCAATTAAAAACTTTTTTAATATCATGATAATCTTCAGTATGACGTCACCAGTATGCTCACAGCACCGAAAATTATAACTATCCTTTTCACTTTTGACTTTAACTATACTTATACTCTTCTCCTGTTAACATTTAGGAAATAAAAAAAAACAACAACAGGTACAAATGAAATCGCTATATGACAGACATCATGACATGAAGTTGACGATTGCGGCAGGAGCTAGGTGTTGTTTACATACCTACTTATTTGTCACTAATCGCTATCGCTATCTTTTTTTTCTTAATGTTAAAAGGAGAAGAGTAATGTCAAAGTCAAAAGTGGAAAGGATAGTAATAATTTTCGTTGCTGTGAGCATACTGGTGACGTCATACTGAAGAGTATCATATTAAAAAAGTTTTTAATTGATATCTTGAAAACTGTTGGGTATTGAACATTAGCGCAATGATCACTTTTGTTAAGGACGACTCCTTATACACAATATCAAAAATTCCGCAAAATTCCACATAGATCACTTTTCCATAAGAAATGTGCGGGGTCCTTTGACAGGCTGTAAAACTTAAACGGGTAATTTTAGAGGAAAACCAATTTCACATTTCTATCTCAGATTTTCATAAGCTATCATTTGACACCAACTTTGAGTTTAACCGGAGATTAATAATTCAGGCGGAATTTTTAATCATGGATTAAATTCAAAGTTGGTGTCAAATGATAGTTTATGAAAAACTAATCTGAGAATGTATGATCGGTTTTGCTGTTAAATTAACCCTTCCGGTTTTACAGTCTGTCAAGGATGCAAAAAAGTCAATTTTCAACTGTCAATTAATATTCAAGAAACAGTTGTAGATAGGTATATGACATTTTATATGGAATATGTGTAGAATTTTCCGCAGAATCTAGAAATGTCATAATATACAGGGAGAGTCATTTAAAAAAACATAGCTTTGTGTCATCACTACTTATTAGGCCACCCTGTATGCTGGAAAATAATTTAGGAATGTAGTACTCATATTTATCTACAAGTTTTGTATTTAGTTTTTTCTTCGATCTCGGTTAGTATAGGAGATATAGACCACCGCGCGCTTAGGAACTCACCCTGTATATTCATCGAGATATTCATATTGAAAATAACGTCGCCATTTTGTGCCCCACGTTTTGCTAATTTTAAATATAGTAGTCATCAAATAGGTACGTTGTTTTCAATTTTTTATGATAGATGTCCATTTAATTCCTATACCGGGTGTTTTTCAAAACCCGCTCACCCCTATAACTTTTTTATTTTTTCAAATAAACAAATGAAATTTGGTGTGTTTATTTATGACCCGGATGTGCATTATTTGACGTATTCAATTTTTTACTATCACTTCCGGTTTGACCGGAAGTGACCCTAACTTCCCTATTTTAAATGAGACGCCAGGTAAATTTTTCCTCATTTCAATAGAAAATTACATTACGAGTACAATGACACCTCATTTGTCACTTTTTGACATTTCACCTCCAAATTATTTAAATTTTAACTTTTTAATCTAGAGCGCCATGAATAAGTTAAAATGCCAAAGTAATTTTGCTCCTAGAAACATGGGAAAATTTGTTTTGAGCTTATTTTGTCCGGTCAAACCGGAAGTGATAGTAAAAAAATAAATACGTCAAATAATGTACATCCGGGTCATAAATTAACACACCAAATTTCATTTGTTTATCTTGAAAAATAAAAAAGTTATAGGGGTGAGCGGGTTTTGAAAAACACCCGGTATATTCATATTTAACATTAGCAAGAACTAAGAAGAGAAGCACAAAATGGCGGCGGTGCCTATTGTCGCCAATGTTTGTTTGCTCAAAATCAATAAACGCCCTCTAGCGGCGAAACGGTTGAAGATATCTAAATGCGGTCTGGGGTGCGATTTTCGAAACCATTCGAGTACATTTCGTACACGAAATTTGACTGACAGCAATGTAAATTAAATGGGGAGCATTCGAAATCGTATCAAATTTCGTATACGAAAATATTCGAAAATCGGACCCCAGGTCACAGCAGACGTTAATTTTTTTGTATCTCGCATAGAAATAATTGACGTTTCCTATCAAAAGTGTTTAAATTGGACCACCCTGTATTTACCTAATGCCTCCCTTCAAAATCGATTCTAATCAAAAAATTGTAGGCAAGCACTTACTCTATGGCACTTACCTGCTTTTTTCAATAAATCGAATCCACGTTTAACCTCATCCAACGGTAACATAAAAGAAGTTTTGGCAGTATGAAAGCAAAATCCGCAGCTGTAGTTGCAAACTCTTGTAAAATGATAATTGACACTTTTTGGTATTAGAGTATCGACTTTTGCTGATGACTTCTTATTATAGTTCTTACCATCAGAATTCCAAGTGACTGGTACAAAAATATTTAACAGGTACATAATAATTTTACGACAACTATCAAAAACCGAATTAAAATCGAAAACCATATTGATTTAAATAATAATTACTTAAATAATGTGAACTTTACTAAGACATAAAACACAATACATTTTAATGCAAAGTAAGCCATTTATTTGAATGCAAAATAAAATTCAGTATTTCACCGAGAATACCGCAAACAATGATTCGCGATATTTTTTCCTTTTCGCCTATTCGAAATACGACAAAGAAAACTAATCAAAATCATCTGGGATTCACATGAGTATTTTTCAATATACTTATGAATTCATGAACCAATTGGTACGAAAATAGACCCAAGGCGTTTTCATATTTTATCTTGTGTTTTGTGCTGGTAAAAAGTATAAATTTCAAAATCCAAAAAAAGGTAAGTGAATCCAAAGTTTACAAAACCATTAAAATTGCTCAACTCAAATCTAATAAAATTAGGTATAAATTATTGGCAGAGTGCAGTAAACTGAAATATACTCGAACACATCTCTATCCCGTACTCAGCAGTTCCTGCGGTACTCTAACCTCTTTAAAATTTAAAACAACAAACCCATAAATATTGGGGTTTTTAGTTTTAAAGTGGTATCAGGTAGTTTAAAGGCGGTACTTTTTTTGGAATTGAATTTCGTCATGTTGGCAGCATTTTTTTCCGATTTGAATATGGGAATCCCCCTGGTACAAAGTGAAATCTTCAATTACAATAATTGAACAACAAAAACAAAGCACTTTGAAAATTTGTGCTGCTCGTGCAAATTTTTAATTATTTTGTATGACTAGTAATAAACATTTTTATCTCAGATCAACATAATCTAATATGTTGTTTGTTTACTTCAATTATCAATATCAAGTGTCCTGCAAGTTTTGAGGTTTTATGTGTTCAGACTTTAGGCATCAAAATAAAATAAAAGGGTAAGTTAGGTATTTTTGTTTATGTAAAGTAGGTAGGTGATTTAACTATACTTTTGGGCGGTATTTAAAGGCTAAATAATAATACGTGTGTGATGCTAGCTCCTTGTAGCCAGCTTCTTGCCACCAATATGAATCCGCGAACGTAGTCGAAAGTGTGAAGCCAGCTCCTTGCGGCCCGCAACTTTTATCACTTTGAAATAAAACTGAATATATTTTTCGAATAATTTAAAACAGAATATAACTAAATTTCTTTTTCAACCAAAAGCAAACGACACAATCAAAATAATAGTTATATTCTGTTTTAAATTATTTGAAAAATATATTCAGCCAGCTTTATTTTTATTAAGTGATAAAAGTTGCGGGCCGCAAGGAGCTGGCTTCACACTTTCGACTACGTTCGCGAATTCAAATTTGAGGCAAGGAGCGGGCTCCAAGGAGCTAGCGTCACACACATAATAATAATTGTATTTCTCATAATAAGAATGCATTCAAGTAAAACAAGTGAAAGTAGTTTAAGGCCCGGTTGTATTCAAACCAAATAAATGGTGATGGTTCAATAAAGTTCAGTTAGTTCAGTTGATATCCATTGGTACAGGGTGTCAAGGCAAGGGTGGTGTCAAGCTATAAAGTACCACCCCCTGTAACTTTTTTATATTTGATCGTACATAAAAAAGTTACAGGGGGAGGTACTTTATAACTTGACACCCGGTACCTAGTTAATCTTTTGATCTTTCCCATTTAAAATGTGTTGCTGACAAAAAAAAAATACACTTTTAACAGATTGATTTCTATGGGAAAAATCGAGAGTAGCAGTTCAGCTAAACCAGTATTTACTCAGCTATTTGTTAAGAAAATATTTCCTCATGGAAAGATTAACTGGAATAAATTTAAGGCAGGGAGGGTGTCCGTTTTAAGTGATACCACTATTGCTATCTCCGAAAGGTAAGAGCTACGAGGTCCGTTGAATTAGACATAAATGGCAAATTTTAGTGTCCATTAAAGGTAAGTTCACAGGGTTGCCAACTTTTTGTTTGTTTTCGAGATATGAGAGAAAATGTAAAGTCTGTTTTTTTTTTTAAGATAATTCCCCAAGTCAAAAATTTAGTAACTATGTTGGCAACACAAGCCTTTTCTGCTTTTCTACATAAAAAATTTGAAAGATTGACAATTTTACATTGTATTGCCAACATAATGTCATTTTGACTTTTATCTTTAAAAAAAAAAACGCACTTTACTTTAGCTTTCTGACTGTTTTCAACCAATGAAATTCGCTCTGACTGGTTTGTGATTGCTGTACGCACAGAGCTATTGTTTCGCTCAGACACGTCAATTTGGTTTTTTTGTTTGAAATTTTTCGATATACTTTTTATTATACAGGGTGTCCCAAAAATAGCTTCGCTGGTATCAATTTGTTTTTTTTCAAAACTATCGCGTTTTTCTAACAAATTATGTAGTAGTTATGTATGTATCGGTTAAATTGGAAAAAATTTGCCTTTTTCGATGCCCATTTAAGACTCGTATACAGTGTTGCCAAATTCCTTCTAGTTCATGAAATACAGGGCGATTTCTAAGAAACGCCTAAAAATATTTCATCAATTATTTCGAAAACTATTGATTTTCGAGACACAACTTAAATTTGAAAGTTTTTTAATTTTTTTCGCTCTACAACATGGTACCTTCAAATTTTAAATCCGACGTTTCGTGATCGAGCTACAATCATCAACTTAATTTTTTCAAATACGGATCTTGATTTTTTATGTCAATTTTAGAGAGCTCCCTTATTCCCTTTTTTAACGATATACCTCTCAAGTATGATTGGCCGACGTTTCTGCTCTCAAAAGTGATCTTCAGAGCCGAATTAAGATAAAATGTTGGTAAAAATTACTTTTTAGAGCAGAAACGTCGGCCAATCATAGTTAAGATGTTTATCGTTATAAAGGGAATAAAGAGCCCTTTCTAAAAATGACATAAAAAATCTAGGTCCGTATTTAAAAAAATGAAGTTGATGATGGTAGCTTGATCACGAAACGTCGGATTTAAAATTTGAAGATGCCATGTTGTAGAGCGAAAAAAATTATAAAACTTAAATTTAAATTGAGTTTCGAAAATCAATAGTTTTTGAAATAATAGATGAAATTTTTCTAGGCGTTTCTTAGAAATCACCCTGTATTTCATGAACTAAAAGAAATTTGGCAGCACTGTAACCGAAACTTAAATGGGCATAAAAAAGGCATCTTTTTTCTAATTTAACCAACCTTGCAGCTCTTACCGTTTCGGATATAGCAATAGTGGTATCACGTAAAATATACACCCTGTATATCATGATATAATATCGCGATATTTATTTTGGAAAGGAGTGTTTGAAATTAAAATTCATTTTAGGTACAGTTATTAGAGTTGCAGTTTGGGTTAGTTATGGTTGAGGTGAGATGAGGAGAGTTTCGGCGTTAACCGGGTTACGAAAAGTAGTTATAAAGCGGTAACGAAATGGTTAGGAAGGTTGCAAAGGTTAGGATATGGGGATATGGTCAGCGATATTAAACATTAACCAGTAAGTAACAGGGTTGGAAAAAACCCGGGTTTTTTTGAAAAAGTCCAACCCATCGGGTTTTTTTGGGTTTTTATGTGTTTTTTAGGTTTTTTTGGGTTTTTTCGGGCTTCCCGGAGGGTTTTGTTTTTTTTCTTCAAAATTTGATTTATAGTTTCTGCTCTAGCAAAAGTATTACAAAAATTATGACTTTTGTTGCAAAAATAAAATATCCTTACAAAATAGAGCAAGCCACTTGATATAGATAATTACACTTGGCATCAGTGCACTGCACCGTGCCTCTGGCTGGCCAGCCCAGAGATTCCGTGTCATGTAGGATTCTACATATCGACAGGATTCTATAGGCTCGGCACATTCGATATGTCGAATTCACATGGCACGGGAGTCTCTGCCCAGGCCTCTACGCCAACAGTGAACAGCCAGGGATTGGGGAATCCTCGATATTTTCTGTGAAAATGCCGCTCATTCAACTAAAAATTTGCTATTTTAAAAAAAAAAAAACCAAAAAAACCCAATAATGGTGGGTTTTATCAATTAAAAAAACCCAAAAAACCCCACTGGGTTTTATAACCTGGGGAAATTCTAAGCCAACCCTGGTAAGTAACCAGGGATGGAAGTCTGTAACGGATAGAGATCGTTATCCCTATCGATATGGCACTTGTTCTTTTCTTCTCTCTTCGTCGAAGGTAATACAGAGGCTGTGTTCGTTTTTGTCATCTTTTTCGTCAATTTGTTCCGAAATTTTAACAGGCACGTGATTTGTAAATTGAAACTGTCTGATCCAGTCACGTGCCTGTCAAAATTTCGGAGCAAATCGACGAAAAAGATGACAAAAACGAACACGGCCAGAGTCCCAGCCCAGACGCCACAGTGGCGTAGCTATCGATGAGCGGGAGTGCGCAAAGCGCTAGGGCCCCGGAGCATAGGGGGCCCCGCAAGGCCCACTTCTTAAAATCAAAAAAATCTGCAAAAATTCCTTAATAAAGCTTAAGTAGTTCATATACTTGCGAATCGCGAATTGTGGAAAGCGAATAATGATCCTGTTGGTTGATTTGGCTGTCCACCGCTTCACATATTTGAAATCGACCAATTGTAACTCATGTACACGCCAAACTTCCTGGGTCCTTATTCTTGAAACAGAGGAGCAGCGTTCCCAGGAGAACGAGTGTTCCGTCTTCTGTCACTTATACTATCAGAGGCATATCATTGAGAAAGAAGGAACACTCGTTTTCCTGAGAACGCTGCTCCCCTGTTTTAAGAATAAGGTCCCTGAATAGGCCAGCATAGACACACGTTCTTTCGCGCGGTTTATCGTGTCATCTGCAAAAACCTGTGAAAAATCATGTGCGTGAGTGAGGAGGACAGTAGATAGTCAAAGCGGGTCCTAGCATCAAAATCCGACCATAACCTCAATCTTTCATTCTTGACACGTGGTGGATGCGCCGTCGTTGACACGAAGGTGGATGCATCGTCGACGCCATCTTGTCAAACATCATGGCGCCATCTGTCGTGAGTGCGGTGAATTCTTGCAATTGATCGACAGGAAGGGTTCAAAATTACAGGTTCCTGTAATATGGAGTT